TCTTAAAAAGATAGGCATTGAACTGTCCATGTCCTGTCAGTAGCTGGATTAGAAAGAAATCTGTGTCTCCGTATTGTCGAGAGAGCCAGACGCTAATGTCCGGAATCAGACGCGCCGTCCATCTGCCCGTCTCTCCTGACGTCCACCGATTTTGCCACTCTTGTATCGTTTCATTTTTAATTCTCGACCTTGTTTCTCTGGAATCGTCGCCACCTAATTTAGCGTCGTAGAGTTTCACTCTCTCGAAAGCTAGCAAGTCAATCGGTGTGGCTCCTGCTATTACCAGCACGGCTGCTTCTGAGACCGTGCGATAGGCACAGGTAACTCTCAGAGCTCCTCGTCTTTGCACTGCCGCTATTTTGCGCCGATAAGTCTTTTGCTTGAGGATATCCGCCCATATCTCTGCTCCGTAAAGCAGTACAGAATGGACTACCTCAAGCAGGACTCGTCGTTTTCGGGTTTGTGGTCCCATGCAGTTAGCCATAATCCTTGACAAGTTGAATACCGTCTTGCTAGCTTTTATGCATGCACTATCGAGATGCTCACGGAAGGATAGCTTCTCATCTATCACTACTCCCAGGTAGCGCAAGGCCCTTGTCGACGTCAAAGTTGTCTCTCCTATGTCTACGGTGAATGGTTTTGGAAACCATTTTTGTCGGGTCAAGACAACCATCTCCGTTTTTTGTTTCGCGAGTTTTAGGTGGTGTTTCTCAAGCCAGGTCTCTATGGTGTCGACGGTCTCTCGAACGAGTAGTTCAGCTTCCTCAATGCTGTCCACTACGATTGTGGCTGCGACGTCGTCCGCAAAGCCCGTGAGTTCCACCTGCTTCGGCAAGGGAATCTCCAGGAGCTCGTCGTAGACAGCGTTCCACAAATCGGCTCCTAAGATTGAGCCTTGAGGTACCCCAGCTGTAACCTCGTGTTCTTGATGACCTTCCGTCGTTTCCACTATTAACTTTCTCCCATCGAGGTAGTCGTGTAAAATATCCTCCCAATTCGCACTGTTAAACGCGTTTTTAACGTCGAATGTGAGAAGGAGACACACATGCTTCTCTTGCTGTTTCCGTTACCTTCCGAATCGCGCCGATCGTCGATCGTCCTTTTTGAAATCCGTGTTGGTTCTTAGCAAAACCTCCGGCGCATTCAATGTCGTTGCGCAGTCTGCATTGAATTAGTTTCTCAAGCAGTTTGCCGGCGATGTCTAACATGCAGAGTGGTCGAAACGACGATGGCGTTACAGGGGTTTCCTTACCTTTGTCTATTAGGACCAATCTTTGCCGCTTCCAGACCGTAGGAAAGGTGCCGGTCGCCAGACAGGCATTGTAGGCGTTCAGAAGAATATACGGAAATTCCAAGGCTACAACTTTGATCGCTGAGGCTGGGATGCCATCAGGGCCTGGTGCTTTGCCAGTTTTTATGGTTTTTGCCGCATCTTGGAGTTCCTTGACAGTGAAGGGCGTAGTTTCACTGTTTTCCACGTATTGTCTCCTTTTCCGTGGCGGATGTTTAGGGAATAGTTCCGCTACGATGGAATTCATCAGAGCAGGAGATTTCGTTTTGTAACGATTTGATAGGCTTTGCCCCAGAGATCTTTGTCAAGGTCATTGCAGATTTCCTTCCACAATCCGGCTTTAGCTGATTTTATGGCTTTATTTAGGCTCTTTTTTGCCTGTTTGTACTCGTTTGTATACAAATCTTGGTAGGGGGAGCGTTTTGCAGCTCTTGTGGCGCGGCGACGTAATGCGTGGCATCTTTTCCGTAGTTCTGCTATCTCTGATGACCACCAATATGCTGGACAGTGCACACCCTGATTTTTTGGTCGTGGCATAGAGGCGTTACATGAGGTGACAATAGCGTTCATAGTTTTAAAAACCGTTTCTTCCGCTTCTCTGCGAGTACTTAGTTTTGGATCAGCTTGAAGAGTAGGTGCGTTTTGTTCGCAACGCTTCCTGGTCAAGCTTCTTGGCATTCCACCTTCGTTTGCAAAAGTTGCTTTGCCGAGTGGGATCGGATCCAATACTAAATGTCACATGTTGATGATCACTGCCACTATACTCTTCAGATACAGTCCAGTCTCCAATCATGTTCGCCGTCCTTGGAGTGGCAAACGTAATGTCGAGAATAGATTCCTGATACCCTGGTCTTCTAAAGGTTGTAATACTCCCAGTATTTAACACAGTGAGGTCTAATCTTGCAGCAAAGTCTGCCACGTTATTTCCTCTAGTGTCCGAGTATTCGGCGCCCCATTCTGCCGATTTCGCGTTGAAATCACCAGCTACAATGACTTCTCCGTCAAATTTGCCGAGAGTGTCTTCTATGCTTGCCATTTTCTGGCGAAATACGCTGATCCCTTCATTTGGTGAGAGGTAGACGCTTACACAGTAGGTCGTGGGAGTCTTGATCCAGACGAAACCCTCGCCGCTTCCGTTGTCATTGACGGTGATCTTCTTTGAGTTTGTGATCCATATTGCTGCCGTGCCAGATTTATCTGCGAACCATGATTTATTCTGAATATTCATATATTGCTCGCAGATAAGGCAGATATCGATCCTATCTTCAAAGATACGTTGGCGCAGTAGATTCTGCGCCAAGGCACATCTGTTCAGGTTACCTTGTAGAAATCGCGTCATTTCTGTTCTCTCGTGGCTTCGGCAAGTGCTACACGAAATGCTTTACAGGTACCGGATCCGGCGACATGGCTCCCGCTGTTTCGATCTTCTTTGTCTACTGTACATAGAAAGCATTTTGGTTTTTCCGCGCAGTCTACAGACTTGTGATTTTCCCCGCCGCATTTGTAGCAACACTTGCTTCTGTCTGGTCCCCCGCATTTATGCGTTTGGTGTCCGAAACCGAGGCATCTAAAGCAGCGGGCCACTTTAACAACTGGGCGAATGCGACAGTTAACCCACCCAATTCTTATGCGGGCCCCATTTAGGGCTTTGATTGCATTAGCCTCGTCTATCTCACAGAAGGCCGCTCGTTGTCCTCTTGATGTGACTTTGGTCAAGTTCACTCGTCGTATTTCCAGTTTTGTCGTAAAGTCCCGAATGAGTGCTTTGCTAACTTCATTTTCGGTAGAGACACCATCAAGGTCAAGAATCTCTATCGTCGTCAGCGGCGTCAGTGATTTCACTGTTCCTATGTTTTCAGTTGCTGCCCTTATCGCAGCTGTAAAGGCTGCATTATCTTCGGACTTGGGACTCATTTCCAGTAATACGCCTCCATTTCTTGTCTGTTTGATGGACTTTATGTCCACGCCAGTCTCTGTCGGGTTTACTTTTTCCTTGATCCCCTTAAGGATGTCAGCGTACGTTCGTCCTTCAGCTGGTTGAACCAGAACAGCCTTGGTTCTATGTTTCCTCCGAGTTGTCCTATGATGGTTGTTTCTGTGCTTAGCACTATCATTTGTTCCGATTTTTTCCGTTTTCGGTCTCTCGGTTTCCTCCAAGGTTTCTTTCGGATCTCGGGCTCCTTTCTTCTTCGAACTTTTTCGAACCACTTTCGTCCAGTTTTTTTCTACAGCCGATTTTTTAGGCGGATGTGTTTCCGCGTCAGAGGTGGGACTAAGTGAAGATAGCAACCTTTTGTTTGTGTTTTGCTCCTGGGTCTTAGGAGTTGGCGTCTGAGTTACACCCGGTTTAATAGTTTTCTCGGGAGAGGTCTGTGTAGTTTGCACTGTCATTGCGAGAGCTTTGGGGGTTGCCGTATATTCTTTCAATGCCAGGCTATATGCTGTATCAATCGACCTAATTAGCTCCTTTATTCTGCTGTGAACATTGTTCCTATCTTTCACATACTCCGCTAGCTCGTCAATTTTGGAGCCAAGTCTCTCCATCGGCGTTTGACGACATCTAGTCGATGGTGCAGAGTTTACTCTGTCACGGTAAAGATTACCGGGAACCTTCTTGCCTCCTTTTACTATAGCGGCTTTTGCCGCATCGTGCTCGACGTCCATAATTACGTCACCTGTCTCTTGTTTTTTTGGGTTTTCATAGTTATCCATGCTATTTAAATAGTCCTCCAGAGCAAAAGGTCGTCTCCGAACGCGGTGCTTTGGGAAGTCGAGGGGTGATCACCCCTACAGCTACCTCCATTACTGTAAGAGCTTGTGACCATTGGTGTGGGAAAAGAAACATCCGCTCCGGCCGTGCGCCTTCTTCCTTCATTGGCATCCTCTTGCTCCCGTGGGTGCGGCACGTTGATGCCGGGAGTTTCCACGTACGGTGCGCTATATGGATCATCCACACATCTCTTTCGAGCAGTGTCCCCTCATCCGCTTCCGTATGTGACCCTAGGTTAGATGGTGTGACCAACCAAAAGGGAGTTTTTAATTTTTTCCGCGATACACGGACGGTGGCTGTTACTCCTCAGCTCCGATGTCATATTTGGTCCGCGAGGGCTATTTTATTTCGCCCCAATCCGCCGATCTTACGATCGGTTAGGATACCCCCTATCCGCCACCTGGGGACGCGCCCGGTAGGAGTTTGGCTTCTCCCTAAGGGATATATATGATATGTATATGTACATATGTATGTATATGTGTATGTATGTATATATATATATATATATATATGTTTGCGTAGGTTTATATGTATATGTGTATATGCGTACTTATATATTTATTCATATATTCTTTTTCTTTTTTTCTTTTTTTCTTTTTTATCTATTTAATATCTAGTTTCTATTACCTTTCCTATCATTTATAATTTGTTTGTTGTTAAGTGTTGCTGTTTTGTTAATTTTTCTCTTATATTTATAGTTTCTATACCAATCCACATATATTATAATTACCTAGTTATACTAATTTTTTATACTGTTTTTAGATCCACTGATGATGACATTAAATTGAATGTTGAACCGTTTGGAATTAAAGATTAATTTATAAATCTTTGCTTTTTATTTTTTGATGTATCGCCCCACAAGAACTTACTCATATATATATATATATATATATATATATACATATATATATATATATATATATAAATATTTTATTTTAGGAATATTTGACATGGTTCTGATAAAGAATCTGCTAATAATGGCTACGGCGTTAATCATAGCGCACAGTCATCATATGCCGGCTGGCGTTGGAGATGATGTTCTGGACATGGGCGCAGAAGAAGCCAGGAAATACGAACCGTGGTCTGAATATGACGATCGTTCTCTAGATTTTGCATATCATAATCATGAGCAAATGACGATGTTTCTGAGGGCTACCACCGCACGGTATCCAAATTTGACAGCGCTTTATTCTATTGGGAAATCAGTGCAAGGTTTTATTGCGTTTTTCTTTTATATTCTTGTAATTTGATTTAAAATAATATCATAAACTATTTATAAATTAATAATAATAATTTATTAGATAGTGCACATTTATAATTTTCTTTTTTCTTTCTTCTAAATTATATTTTTAAATTAGTTTGTTTTGTGGTCTGTGCGTTAGCTTTTAAGTTTCGGAAAGACGCTAATCATCGTTTACGTTTCGAAAAGACGCCATCCTTCAAATGAAATGAACACAATATTTTAATAAAGGTAACTCTGCGTGTGCTATGTATCAGTCAAGAATTAAATGAATATCTTCGGCAATTTAGTTTGTTGATTGATATGTTGTATAATAATTACTTAAACATTGAGAAGTTTTAAGAATTTTCTTTAGTGTAATATACTACTAGTTTTGTTTTTTGTAATAAGACATGTGAATGGCATGGTGTATAGAATTTGAAAATTTTGTTAGCTTGTGATTCAATGCTAGCAATTAACGTACTCGATACTCCACTATATGTTTATTATATAAATAAATAAATAAAGATAAATTGAAATTATTTATTAGGTAGAGATTTGTGGGTGCTTGTGGTATCATCTTCGCCCTACGAGCATATGTTGGGGAAACCAGACATAAAATACATCGGAAACATACACGGAAATGAGCCTGTAGGACGAGAATTATTGCTTCATTTAATTGAGGTAACTTCGTCAATTCTTATACTCAGCTATGCTATCTGATTCAGTTATTAAATAAAAGTTATAATTTACATTTACGAACTACTATTGAATTATCTATTAACTATCAAACTATCTACATCTTGCATGCATACTTCATCATTAAGTTATTTGTTTATGTCGCATTGAAGATGAGTTAAATGAATATCCGAAATTTATGCCAGGTTTATTTTGGCTGCATTATATTGAATTAATATTTTTGAAAGAAAAATGCATTGAAGTCCCTGGCTTAATTATCTATTAGCCAAGAAAATACACTACCGCATCATATTATTAACCCGAACAAACTGCTTTTCATTAAGACATAAATTCCAAGATTCACACCAATCTGAACATATCCAAAATTCATACAGAAGATACAGAAGTGTATTAGTTAAAATTACAAATTTGACAATCTCATCATGCTATATATTTTTTTATAAACATATTAAAAAATCCAGAAACTGCAATTGGTGCAACATATCCTTTATATATTTTTGTTTTTATTAAGCATTGGTTAATAGTATTATAAAATTTGCATTATGTTATGATTCATCGTAATTCATTCGTAATTTCTAAGTCTAAATTTTTTTTAGTATAAAATAAATTACAAGTTAACGGTTGTGCTAATTAAATTTGATAATTAAACTTTATATTTTTAGTATTTTGTGACCAGTTACCAAACTGATTCGTATATTCGTTGGTTGTTGGACAATACTAGAATTCACATTATGCCTTCAATGAATCCTGACGGTTTTCAAGTATCCAAGGAGGGAACATGCGATGGTGGTCAAGGAAGGTAAGTCAATGACACATGTTCATTTAATATTGGGTTGCAGTACTTGCATACGTATTTCATCTTTGTATTATAAAATTGCGCGACTGGAATTTTTTTGACGATAAATATAATGGTCTTACAAAACATACCAATACGATCGTGTGACAAGTCGTTTAATTTTAAAAATCTACCAAAGAATAAAAATTAGCAGCTTTTTTAACATTTGTTAATGATAGACCTCTTATCAATGTTTTTTTCAGAAAGGGCTGAGTCATTTTAAAAAAATTAAAAATCATTCGATGAAACCTTATTGGCTCTTGCCAGAGTGCAAAATTTTTCGTCTGCGTTTTAGCTAAAAATTCTGAATCTATCTTGAAAATTCAAAAAATATTCGAAATATATTATTTAAAAATCATGCTGATTAGTTTTGCACAAAGATCGGCCAGGCCTATCTTCTTTGTAATTGATTATTCATATATATATATATATATATATATATATATATATATATATACAGTAGAATCCGCTTAATATGACATCGAAGGGACGCCGAAATCTCGTCATACTAACCGGTCGTCATTAAAAGCATACTGGAGAAAAACTTTTTAATATGCAAATATGTTACATGTTTCAGTAATTCAAACTACCTATACAAACGTTTTAATTAAAAATAAAAATGACACATTAAAATTTAATATAAAATAAAATTGACATAGGGTAGGGCGCTGGCACAACGGTCCAATTTGACTTACGGTAATTATACTGTCTAAACCCAATGAACAACACATAACATACATCAAAGAAGCATCTATCGAACTATGTTCAGAAAAACTTACATACATACGTACATAATTCCTAATTATATAAATATTATATTTTTTACTATTTTTTAAACATTTGGTGTCTGACCCATTTTACTTCACATACAATTCATTTTATTGCATTGCAATTTATTTTATTAAATTTTAAAGGCATTTCATGCTACATTATTGAACCAATGCAAAATATTAATTCTGTGGGTACATTTGTTACAAAGACAACACAGTATATTACATTGATCTGCTATTGGTCAGAAATATTTATCAGAAGAGCCGGAATAACAATTTATTCAATTAATCTCTTGTAAAATTGCTTTTTTTTAAACTTCACTATTTTATTGCTTACACCTATGCCAAAGTAACGGTTCAGCTGGTCGTTTTTATTGCAGTTATGTGCCGCTTATCTTCTGATAGCAAAGTCATAAGAATAAAGGTGATGGCTGGTTATAAATTTATACATTTTTAGCCCTCTACTATCAAATATAATTGTTAAAAAAAATCTAATTTTATTTGTTTATGAGATATCCGTGGTAGGGCCATTAATAATTAGTCTACCCTACCCATAAACATACAAATGTGTTTTTTTAATGTAAGTAATCAGTAATTTTTGATTGATTTCTTTGCATAATTTTATTGTAAAAACAGCCCCTGGTGCTATTGTGCACAAAATACATAGCAATTGCTCTCGTAGACTTGGCCACATCATGTAAAATCATGTCGGTCATTATAATTGGACATATTTTTTTTTGCAAAAATGGGTCATTATAAGCGACATGTCAATGTAAGCGAGGTCAATATATCCGACTAGACAGCTGTTTTTTTAAGGAATTTTATATGGAAACCAAATTCCTAGTGCGATTACGTCATATTAAGCGGTTGTCAATATATCCGGCGTCATACTAATCTACTGTATATATATATATATATATATATATATATATATATATATATATATATCGTTATACTTATAAATCATTCATAAATTATTATATTGATTTTTCATTGTTTAAGTGTATTATTTATACATGTCGAGAATTTTATGCAACTTGCTTTAAGGTAAAATGCCACTTACAACTAGTTCATTTTTATTCGCAAAAAATGGGCCAAAATATATTTACTTAAAGTATTTTCTTTATTTAATTTATTTTGCAATCTGTTTTACATGAACATTAACATTAAGCAGAGATTGCTAACAATAAATATCTTACAATATTAACTAGAAGATAGTAGCAACATCCAGCGGCTTGTCTACTAGGTATACATAACACATATTAAAAAAACTAGTGGGGTGTATGGCATCGTGCTTTAAGGCAAATTGCTGGAACTTTCCGTACCGTAATGAAATGTTCGAGGAATATTGAATGTTTTCAAATAGATTACTATAAATATTGTAACATTGTCTAATATTTATAAGAATTATATAAACTGAATTGCAAAGTTGAAATTATTTATTCAAAGTATATTAGAACTTTAGTCAGAATTAAAAATAAAATCTTAATTATTTTCGATATACAAAAAATAAAAATTTTTGAAAAAAAATTGAAAAAAAATTTTTGAAACAATTTTTTTTTCAAATTCAATTATTTTGTGAAAGCAAACAGAAAGTTCTTTAAAGCAGTTAAATCGGACGCTTAGTTCTGACAAAAACATTTTTGCACATTTAGCTCTATTCCTTCGAAATGGCTGAGTCTGCCTTTGCCAAAAACTAATAACCACTTCCCCCAATCATTACTAATTGAATGTTTTTTAGATCATTCAAATCGTATGCACCGTTCTCTCAAAAACTCGATTTCTATTTCCTGCACTCTTTGCTCTTTATCTCCGTAACTGCTGGACCTGACTTTGCCTAAAACTAATCAGAACATCTCCCTATCAATATGAATTGAATGTTTTTTGAACCATTCAAATCGGTTGCTCCGTGCGCCCGAAAACGTGAACGAAAAAATGCGGTCACACATACACACACACATTCATCTTTTCTGAGGTATGCCAAAATGTTCAGAAACCTTCAAAACGTGGAAAAATGCAAAAATTTTCAATTTCGATTTTTGGACGATTAGAATAACTTACCCTACGGGAAGTTAAAAAAGAATAAAGAAACTAGTGGGGCGCATGGCATGGTGCCTTAAGGCAAATTGCTGGTGCTTCTCGTACCAGAAATTATTTTTTTTAAAAAGGATTGACATTTTTGAAAAAAAATTACTCTGAAATAAATAGATTTTTGAGAAACTATAAATTTTTGACAAAAATTTCCTTTTTTTTGAAAAAAAAAGACTTTTTAAAGAAAAGTTTATTCTGAAATATTTTGGAAATTCTGAACTTTTTTCAAAGCAATCGTACTGCTTTTACTGCATAGAGATGAAATATCTAAGCGCGTTCGAGCCGCGTCGCCGTCCAACGGATGAATATTGGTACGGAACCCATAGGAATGTAAAAAAAATATACTTATTGTTAAAATCTCTATAAAATATCTAATAATTTGATGTGCATATGTCTAATGATCATTTTTAACCGCCAAATGGCATTTTTTTTTACTTTTATCACTAGATCTCCGAAACCGCTAGACCTGCCTTCATGAAAACTTGATCAGTTCTTCATCTTATTAATACAAGTAAATGTTTTTTGAATTTTTAAAATCTGACGCTCCGTTCTCCTAAAAAACCGTGTTACCCTTTTTAACGGCTAGACCTGCCTCCACCAAAAACTAATCAGCACGTCTGCTTATCAGTACAAAACCGAATGTTTTTTTAATTATTTAAATCGGTTGATCGGTGATCACAAAATCGTCGACGAAAATCTGTATCCGCACACACACACGCACACACACACATACACACATACATACATCCACTTTTTCTAAGTTATGCCAAAATATTCAGAAACCTTTGAAACGTAAAGATAAATAAAATTTTCATTTTTGATTTTTTTGCGATTACTATAACTTGCTCTACGTGAAGTTAAAAAGAAGAAAATGATAAGAAAAACAAACAATCAAATATAACAAAACTAGCTGTAAGTGGAATTCTGTCTTAAGGCAATTAAGGCATCGTGCCTTAAGGCAAATTGCTGGAACTTCCCGTACCAAAAATTATTATTTTTTTAAAAACGATTAACATTTTTGAAAAAAAATTACTTTGAAAAAATAAGATTTTTGAGAAACTATAAATTCGACAAAAAATTACTTTTTTTTGGAAAAAAAAAAAAAAAAAAAAAAAAAAAAAAAATTATTTTTTTTTTAATTTTTTTTTTTTGACAAGAAAATTTTTTTTTCTTCATTTTGATATATTGTGGAAGATCTGAACTTTTTTTTTAAAGCAATCGTACTGCTTTAACTGCATAGGGACAAAATATAACGCGTAAGCGTCGCGTCGCTGTCTAACGCATAAGCATTGGTACGGAACCCATAGGAATGTTAACAAAATGTATACTTATTGTTAAAATCTCTATAAAATATCTGATAATTTGATGTGCATATATGTCTAATGATCATTTTTGACCGCCAAATGGCTCATTTTTTTACTTTTTGCTCCATATCTTCGAAACCGCGAGACCTGCCTTCATGAAAATGTGATCAGTTATTCACCTTGTTAATACAAGTGAAATGTTTTTTGAATTATTCAAATCGGACGCTCCGTTCTTTCAAAAACTGAGTTACCGTTTTCGGCACTTTTTGCCCCGTATCTTCGGAACGGCTAGACCTGCCTTCGCCAAAAACTAATCAGCACGTCTCCTTATCAATACGAATCGAATGTTTTTTAAATTATTCAAATCGGTTGATCCGTGTTCCCGAAATCGTCGACGAAAATTTGTATCCGCACATACATACACACACGCACATACATACATACATACACACACACACACACACACACACACACACACATACATCCATTTTTTCTAAGGTATGCCAAAATGTTCAGAAACCTCTGAAACGTAAAGATATATAAAAATTTTTATTTTCGATTTTTTTGCGATTACTATAACTTACCCTACGGGAAGTTAAAATAGTAATTAGGTTTAACTGGACTAGATGAGGTCTTGTGGCAACTTTCTTTTCAATCTGGTGGGCTGATCATCCAGATAAACTCTGCTGGCCAATTTATTGAGATGTACGTCAATCCTTTTTTTATATTTAAAAGCAACCACTGAAGTTTGTTTCTTTATTGTGAAAATTATCTTGATGGACGATCCATGAAGGGGTGT